GGATAAAGTTTTGGCACGCATATTGAAGGCTCGGTTGACATCTTTCAACCTGGCATCATCACCGTCATTTGGCAGCGATTTGGTCGTTACGGAAGTAGGATAAAGATAGAGTGTCGGGGTTCGAATCCCGCTGTCCAAATTATGCGAGCCTGATTAAGTAATCAGCAATCGACGTTAAGGTTAGGTGCAGAGTTTTCGGTAATCGCGATCGCCCACTAAAGCAAGCGATTGACTGCCATCGAGTACGTTGGTTGGGGCGTGTCCGTGTCCCTGATTTCTTTTCTGGAAACACACACGTCCTCCTCGCGGGGACTAAGAAATAAAAGAGTCAGAAGCTAATCACCGAGGCCTGGATATGGTGAACTAGCCGCAAAAAGGTGACGAAACTCTCACAGAAGACTACGAAGTTTAGGAGCAGACATCAAGATTATAAAGTTTACCGGTTCGATTTAGCGATTAGGAAACCTTGGTGCCTAAACCACGCTTGATCAGACACAGTCTCACAATGAGATGGGACATGAAGACTGATCGGGATGAAAATATATATTGCTTTTCAGCAAACAAGAAGAGCATAGAAGAACTATGAACACCCTTTTGAAATCGCTCTTGCGAGTGTCGATTGGAGACAGAACAGACAACAAGTGAAATTACTTGAGCACCCATAATTAGGATAAAAATCATAACGCGACTTAACAATAAAAATTGCTTCAAGGAATCGATGGACGAGGAGGAAAACATCCAGTTCTCCGACCCAATGCTTTTACCATCATCTGCAGCCTTTTCCTGTGTATACTCATTCATCTGTTTCTGTGGGACTGAGTACATTGGCCGCACGACCAGGCGCTTATCCGATCGCGTTAGCGAACACCAACCGGTTTGGCTGAGAACAGGAACAATTAAGACAATTACGAGCGCGGTGTGTTCACATCTCATTAAACCAAACCAATCCGTGGATATGCCAAGTGCGTTCCGACAGATTTACGCGATTTACAATCAGAAACAGTGAAGCATCGTATCTTACCCACAACCGAGACCGTGAGTAGCCGGACTCACAACCACTCCCTTGTGCGCCTCGAAGAAATTCGTGCCAGCATTTAATCTCCCCCGGCCCATTTCATTCACCCCAACACGTGTGTAATCACTTGAAGTCTTGCAATGATCAATTTCACACAATCACACACGTATATTGTGCAAATGGTTGTTTGGCTGATTGATTTTTTTTATGTCGGGATTGTGAAAAGTTCAGTAGTCTTAGTGAGATTCAAACCCACGCATGGACGCCGCCTACGCTTTTCTACAGCGCAAGCTCTACCAGCTGAGCTACGAGGCCACACCGATAGCACTGATTTTTTCACATTCGAATTACCCATTCAACTTGCAGAGGGATATGGCATCCACCAGTTAGCATGTAAGCTGATTGCCCCGACAGGTTTTCCTTAGAATTCACCGTAGTGCACTGAACGAACATCTAAGGCAAGGTTAATTGTGCAAACCGTTGTTTGGCAATCTCAACCTCAATTTGGGTTCGAATCCCACCAAGGCTACTGAAATTTTCACAATTCTAACATAAAAAACACGTATTTCATTTTAATCCAAAAATTGTCATAGCAAAACTAGAAACTGACAAAACAATAACAGATGTTAAAGTACGTATTTCCGAGACCAAGGTTGTTTACTCGTACAAGGCCCCTTTAGACAGGTTTTCTTGAGGTAAATCGAAATTGCACTACAAATCACTTGAGGTTATTGGTTCCTCGAGAAGCCCCGAATGATAGGACCTAACGACAGAAAATGAACTTTGTTTTCGGCGACGTGAATTTTGGTTTTGGTAAAGCGCATTGGACAGATTAACAAGCGCCCTTCAGTATGAGCTTTGCAACTTTAAAGTGCAAAGTGATAGTGCAAAACTGGGTATAGACTGGTCCGGTTTTAAAACTAAATGGCTAGGAATTAGTTACAGAGGTCTATTTCTCCGACTTAGTTAGTTTTTGACAATTCCTAGTTTTGGCTTGGCAGTCTGAAAGTAAAAATGTATAAACGATCTTGTCGTAAGAAAACAAAATGTCATCATTAGGTAAACGTAATGTTTACATTCAACATGGAGGGCGCCGGGGTGGACTGAGTGAATGTCTAGAAGAGACCTGGTTCATTTACTTCTTATAACCTGCACACACACGATCTTGATTGACAGCCTAGTTGTAAATTAGTTTGAGAGAGTACAATTTCATTCACCCTAGGCATTGTCCACACCCTTTTGAATTGAATATAGGCGACATTTTGTTGTTCCGTACTGTGTCGCGTGTATTGTTGCGATAAAACAGCACGTAGACATCAACCTTCAACCGGCCATCAAATTTGATTAGGTTCGGTCGTGTCAACGATAGCACCGTACTGCAGACGGTCAGTTAGAAAGTTCCGTTCATACACATAGAGAGAGAGAGCCTGAACGCTGACACAGATGTGAATGCGAATCCATCGGGTTGGTAATACAACAAAAAGCATCAATCACTTTTAAGCACTCAACTTCGTCACACATGTACGAACGTACAGAGATGATCGGCCGGTATTTATTACCAAAGACAGACAATATTGATGGGAATAACTGTTCGCTCAAAACGAGACAGGATGAAATGGTTTGACGAACAGAATCGGATACTACGGGATTTGGTTTATAAACCGAATGCATAAATACATTAGTCGACCCAAATCTACCCAATGTTTTTACAGCATTTCGGTTTGGCCAGTGTAAGCTGATGTCAGGAAATCGACCTTCAAACGACAATAAGTATTTGTAGGACCACATCATCAAATCCGTTCGATACTACATAAAGAAAGCATTTCAGTTCCCTTGGCGTTTCCTATCCGCATTCAGAAA